CTCGTGACCCGTCTCGTAGGTGTGAGCGGCCACTTGCGAAGATTCACCATCCCGAAAGCTCAGACCAATTAAATGATAATTCCAGTGTTCGATAAGCCTTCTTCTTCTCAAAATATACACGTTCCCGGAATGCGAACATTTGCCTCAATTCGTGAACTAATAATTGCCCCTTGTTACACCCGCTAAATACAAGGAGCAACAGAGCTAGCATGCAATTCTTCAATTTAACTCCCTTGTGCCAGTATCAACAGGTAGTGTGCGAACTTTGTCAATCAAGGGAATATGAACTCGGACACGAGTGTAGACTTAAGTTTGGTCCTTGTAAAAATTGCAGAGTACGTATATAATAATCCAAACCATATGCCCGGAAATAGATGGCGATCAAATCTGTCATTGAAGCAATGCTTAACACTGCAAATATCCGTGATACAAATATCGCACTCACTAATTCTCATCGTTAAAACGTTTAACCCTTCAATTCCAGACGGCCAGACAACCGATTGATAGGGGCTTTACTGCGCAGTTGCCTAACAGGCGAAACAAATCATAGTTATGTCCAAGTAGTCTGGCTAAACTTATCGCTCTGTGTTATAGTAGTTCTTAATTAGCACTCTTTAAAAGTTAACATAGATGTTAAATGTTATTTATAACATTTCATCAGCTATACGTTATGTTTCGACCTACAACTCAAAAAACTGTGCTTTTATGTGACCTTGTTTGCGATCCTTAATCAGTAGTCGCTTTCAGACCTTCGGTTCATTGATAGCAGACGTTTAGTGGAATATAAGTCAGCAAGGGTCTCATAACGTTTTTTTATTCGTGTTATTCCTGCTTCAAAGCCACTATTTTTAGATATAAACTGACCGAGAAGGACATAAGTGCTAGTTCATTATATTGATTTACCACCTTTCCTGCTTCTCCTTACAGCGTCTTACCAAAAGAACCTTTCAAAGGAACCTACAACACCAAGATCCAAAAAAGAATCTATTAAGCTTTTACCACTCTCAGCTAAACTCGAACGGTCCCAAGTGATGTTTATCGACAAACCAGAATGCAGTTCATTGAACAGTTTCAGGCGCGTCACCGAGGAACCACACAATTCCAAAGACCTAGCAGCTAGGATCGAAACCAATGAAGTCAGCAATGTAACTTCTCCAACGCATCAAAATCAAAAAAGCGTAGATGTAACGATGCCATCTAAAAAACAGTCTACTATCAGTTGGATGGAACCGGAATCTAGCATCTGTTTTCTGGATAGCGACCTGTCCGTGAGTTTTGAGCTGCAGGAAGGCAGTTCAAACCAACCTGCCAACAACTCACTCCGGACTGAATCACGTACAGATATGGATGCGGGAAATGGTTATGCCAGACTAGGGGCAAGTGAATCCATTGCCTACGATGATCTGATTCACGGGAACAATGATAAAAGTGAACTGTATACAGATTTCCCAAATACAGTAATTTAGGGAAAACTGGGACGAATAAGACGACTGCGATCTCTTCATCCGTTCTGGCAGACTGCGGTTATTTTGCATTATTGGAGGATTGCAAATCAGCAAGCGTTTTTACAACCAAAAACTGTGTTTAAAATATGCCACAATCATATGGTTATCTGTATGGGATTGCACATGGCGAAATTTTGTTTTTATATCCCTTTCAAAAAGAAAGACCATCATCAATCTGCCTCTTTGCCAACTGATATGACATCTTGAATGTTAAATTTCTGGATATGCCTTCTTAGGCTGACGAAGACCTATAAGAAATGTTTAAACTGCTTGGGCCACTTAAGTCTGAAGGTCGAATTTCGGCAGCTCTGTTTTTCAAACGACGAAGCAGAAGCGCATTGAAAGCCTTGCGACTCAAAATCGCAATTGTTACCGCTGGTGCACATATTTGCTACTTCACATGATACTCTTTCGCCCGTGTAGCAAAAGCACTTTAAAAATGTAGCTGCGTTAAAGTCGCCTATCTTATTGTCCAGGAAAAAACTGCTAACAACTGCTAGAACGTTTACCATGACGGTTAAATGTAAAGCTATACAAGAAGTTGCAAGCAGTCGAAAGATATATAATCGGACCTACTCTAAACGTCTATCACGTAAGCTGCATGATGAAGGCAATCATCACGAGATAAAAGGGAATGTCTATCGATTAATTGATAAAAAAATAAGTCCGTGCTTCGCAATTAAATCAAGATGCTCGATTTGACACTCCGAGGTTATTTATTTAATAGCGCATCTGGCAAAAAAACATTTCGGTTCATATAAACACTGCAGACTGTGTCAAGTCCCTGTCAGAATTCAAGACGGGAATAATTTGAAAAAAACTAGTCGAAGCTTATAGGCAGATCTCAACAGTAAGCTTGGTTGGGATATTAAATTGCAGCAAATCTGTAAAGACTAATTGCTTGCGAACGGAGACGCAGGGTGAGCTTCGTAGCACCATGGTTGATCGTTGGCTGCGCAAAAGCATCCCCTGTTGTGTGGGTTCAACTCCCACCGAGGCCGCGAATTTTTCACAATTGGGTCAACTGAATTAAGCAAAGATGCCAAGCCCCCCTAACAACTGAGTGTACCTAGTAGACATTCTGGTGGATTCTAGATAAATGCTTAGGAAATCTTGCCTGTGCAATCAGCTTGCTGTTCCGTTATGGTGGATCCATACAAGCAGAAATTTGGGCGGTTAAAATCGATCCAACGTGAGCCCCGTAGCTCAATG